GTGTGTGTGTGTGTGTGTGTGTGTGTGTGTGTGGTGTTGGACATGGGGTGAGATTAAAGAAGTGGTTGCGAGCAGAGATCCTGCTGCTGCAGTCAGCATCTACATGAAGAGCACCGTCCTAAAGAGGATAGTTATACGGCGCTGCCTTGGGGCGTTTACTTTAACGAGATGAACAAATGCAGTGGACCTAATAACTGTCTTTGATGCCTTCAAAACACTTTATTCTGAATTAAATTACACAAATCATGTCCAACCAACCAAACAAATAAAAGCAAAGAAAAGATGAGTGATTTTTCTTGACCTTTCATCACAGACATCACTCTGCCCTGGGAGGGTGGATGGCAAGAAGTGGTAAGAGCCATTGGCTCGGTCACACCATAAGCAAGATTTTATAGCCTTGACCATCCAACACCCAGCTGGATTTTTGAGGTCCTTATCTACATTACAACTTCTTATTGGTATTTTTTTTTTCAGAGAGTTTTGTAGTCTGATTTGCAATGCTAACTGTTAACAAGGGGCCTTGTAGATAATATGTTAAAGAGTCAGGGAGTTTTATGTGGCAGCCAAGCCTCAAGTTCTTTTGTCTTCTGATTCCTTCCCGTAATATTAGATATTCCATTTTTTCACAGCCTTGCTGTTCGTGGCATTTGCCCTCTGTATGTTTTGCCTGTACAGCTTCATGCCTTTGGTGATTAAAGCCACTAGTGCCACCTCTGTCAACCTGGGCATCTTGACAGCAGATCTCTACAGCCTTTTCTTTGGACTCTTTCTGTTTGGCTATAAGGTAAGCAAATAAGTCATGTTCAAATAAGAACACTTGATTGGTCCAAAAGAAGTAGTAGGTTTCTTCAAGATTCTTAATCCAAAATAAAACCTTCTCATCTTCTTCACAAGAATTTCATTGGTCAGGCCTCATTCCATTCACTGCTTCCAAATTAAAAAAGCTGGTCTAAGTAAGAATTGCCTAGGCCAGGCACAGTGGCTCACACTTGTAATCCCAGCACTTTGGGAGGCTGAGGTGAGAGGATCACTTGAGGCCAGGAGTTTGAGACCAACCTGAGCAACATAACAAGACCCCATCTCTACGAAAAATAGAAAATTAGCTGGGCGTGGTGGCACGCACCTGTAGTCCCAGCAACTTAAGAGGCTGAGGCAGGAGCATTGCTTGAGCCCAGGAGTTGAGGTTGCAGTGAGCTATGATGATACTGCTGCACGTTAACCTGGTCAACAGAGCAAGACCCTGTGTGGGGGTGGGGGTGGGGGCAAGAATTTTCCCTTTTGGGGTTTTTCTAAAGGGCAAAATACAGTGGATTTCATCTTCTATGGCACATCCTAGGACTCTAGCTTACACAAGTGCTGATGTACGTTGCCAGGTGATAAACAGGCAGTCTCAGAGCTGCCCCTCAACCTCGAGGGACAATCTAAGTTAGACCGGACACTATGGACTTTTCTGTTCACTCTCTTTGCCCTGGTACACAGACAAAAAGTCTGGAGTAGCTGAGAGAAAGGAAGGGGAGAGGGGAGCATCATCATGCGTGCATGATGGAAATGGTTCCATCTTTGATAATAATTTTACGTCCAGAAGGGGCCTTAAAGGTAAGTCAGTGCAGTGGTTTTTCAGACGTTTTCTATTTCCACAGCGTCACAGCATTCACAAGCATAACCTGTGGCCGTCAGTAACGGCTGCTATCGCGTGTACTAATTCTCAAGGCAGGGATGCATCAGTGTCTTCAGGGGAAGCCAGGGAGTGAATGTGTAGTTTGAAAAAATAATATCCCAGAGACTGTGATGCCCCTGCCCTTGAAGGTGACTGACTGGACCATCTCATTTTAGGTGAAGGAGAGGAAGGCCTGGGGAGGTTGTGTGCAGCGGAGTGACCTATCCTTAGTCAGCAGCTGGTTAGAGGTTAAGTCAAGACTAAATTTTAGTTACCGGGCTTCTCTCAGTCCAGTCTTCTTTCTGCTGCACTTTCCCTCTCATTTTCATTATTAAGGTGAAAATCTCAAGCTTAAGAATCTGTCATGTTAAACTGTTACACCGCAGAGAGAACCAAATAAACAGATTTTTTTTTCAACTTCACAGCTGATTTGAAGCACCTAGGATAGTAGTTCTCATTCTTTGTAAATCTCAGGACCGTTTTAAATGCTTGAAAGTTGAGGACTCCAGTCACTTATTATTTACCATATTATAAA